TCTAAAAATGTGGAATAGCTTAGAGGGGAGCAATTTTTCAAGTAACAGTAAAAAATAGTAAATCAAGTTTTAGTTCTAAGGATTCCTTTTATCAGAATATAATGTCAGCAGGAGTAGGAGGTTTAATATATTTAGAAGGATCATAATCATTAAACTTTTATAATAATTCAATTGGAAACATTACTACTGGCTCAAATGGAGGTATATTATATGCTCCATCTTGTGAATCAATTGAAATAGATCTTAGATTAATTTAAGCAAAGAATGTATGGACTGGGGGTTCAGGAGGTTTATTGTATCTTACTTCATCTTTGAATTAAGCTCAAAGCATTTTATTATCATCTTCATAGTCAAGCCAAAGTTTCATTAGAAATTTTAAGACTTCATAGAATGGTGGTATATTTTATTTTGAAAATAAGCATTCTAATTTTGAAATTGCAAACATCATTATCGATCAAATTGAAACTGGAGGATCAGGAGGAGTTTTATTTAATAAACATAGTTCTAATACATAATTCAATATGAAAGCTTTGGACATAATTATATCAAACATATAATCTAAATCTGGGGGATTTATAGTTAGTAATGCAAAATCATAAACTATTTAATTAGAAGGAACAAATTTACTAAAGTTTGAAAATTTAAAAGCTACAGATGTAGATGGAGGAGGTCTGTTCAATTTAGAATCAGAACATACAAAATTAACTCTTTAAAATTTGACATTAAAAAATATTTAAGCAGAGCTTGGTTCTGGTGGATCAATTAAGGTTTTAGCAACAAGCATTTTTGAAGGAATAATTAACCAAGTATTCGTTAATATCAGTGAAGCCTTATTAGATGGAGGGTTTTTATATATTGATTCGCCACTAGTTGATATCTAAATGAACAGTAATAATTTTACTTCAGTATATTCTAAAAAAGGATCAGGAGGAGTAATAAGAATTGAGGATTAGACTGATTTGTAATTATCCCTTAAAATCACTAATTCTAACCATAGTCTCTTTTCATCTTCGGAAAAAGGAAGTTTTATTGTAGTTTAGTCATTAAATGCTGGTGCTACAAATATTTAAATCTTAGATTCTTGTTTCTAATGCAGTGGGAGTCTTATATGGAAAGATTATACAGACTAAGTAGTTTTAAAAATTTAAGAGGATAAACCCTCAATAGGGACAGTTTTCTTTCTAGATGATTAGTAATCAGGGAAAATAGACTCATAGAGGAATACTTATAAATAATGTTTTGTAGCTCAGCAAGGAGGAATATTCAGACTTGGAAAACATATGATTATAAATGAGACAAGATCTAACTTTTAAGAAAATGCTGCTATTAACGGGAGTATTCTTTATTGCTAAGGCTGCCATGGAACTTTCAATAAATCAAGTATAATTGACTCAGTTTCACAAAATGGAGGGTTTATGTACCTACTAGATGATATCGAAATAAATTTAGATGGAGTCTATTTGTTTAACACTAAAGCTATTAATGGAGATGGTGGGGGGATATTTGCAAGTTTGACTAATCCAGATATTGCCAAAACAGCTCTGATTAATTTCATAAACTGTTTGAATCCGATGAGATATTTTGAATCATCTAATGGAAATGGAGGATTTTTTTATGTGCAAAATAGATTATTGAGTCTTATTACTAAAGGGTGCTACTGGAATGATTTATTTGCAAACAAAAGTGGAGGTTTGATATATGGTGGAGATTTAACCTATTTCAGTTTATAGGACTGCATACTATCTAATATAACTTCAGGTATTGACGGTTCCTATATATATTCCAAATCAACAACTTTAGATTTCTCGATACAAAATTGTTCAATCAGCTGTAATACAAATTATGATAGAAGGAATATCTTAAAGAGTTTGGATGAATAAGATCCAAACCTTGGAGGTGCATTCAGCTTTGATTCAGCTTTTAATGTGAGCTCATTTAACAATGTCTTCTTTAACTGTTACACGAGTAACTAGGGATCAATTTTTTTGATAAAGAATACTAAGTTGTACGAAAAGAACTCAATTTATAAGAATAATTCTGCACTTTATGGTGGTGCCATATTTTGTCAAAATTGCACTCTCTTTATTGAGAATGCTACATTCCAATATTTATTGGCACTTCATGGTGGTGCAATTTATGCTAATAATAACTTTTCAATAGATCTAGTAAATAATAAATTTGAAAATATTGAAAGCACCAATGGCGGTCTCATATATGTAACAGAAGGACAAACTAATTAATATTTGAAAAGTCGTGTATAGATAATATAACAGTAGAATATGAATATTTCAGCTACATTCTAAAGTTACTCTAATGGTGGAATCTTATATATTGACCATTAAAATATAGACTTATTAATTAGTAAGTCAAATTTCACAAATATTTTGACTAAAAATTCTGGAGGTATAATTTACACAAGTAATATTAATCAAGTGCAGATAAACTATTCCAACTTTTCAAATATTATAGCAGAAAAATCAGGGTCTCTAATATTTTCTACTTCAAAAATATTAAATCTAGAGATTAATCATTCTAACATCACCTGTAATGACTAGTATTTCATTGAAGATCTTTCTTCCTAGATAAAGTTTAAAAATTCATCAAGAGGAGGCTTATTTGATATCAATAACTCTGAAAATATAGTTAAATCAAGTGATTTACAAATAAGCAATTGCTAGATAGCTTCATAAGGTGGAATATACAAATTAACAAACTCTAGCCTACTTGAAAATCGGAATAAATATACTAATATTAGTTCTCTTGAAGGAGGAATAATCTACTGTAATTACTGTCCTAATATAACAGCACTAAATAATGAATACTCATACATAAATTCATTAAATGGAGGATTGATATCAAGTCAAAATACTTTTTAATCTCTATTATCATAACATTAGAAAATTTCCTTTCAAGATTTAGATTTAAGTAATATTGAAATTTATAACGGTGGAGGAATTATTTATGTTTAAGGAACTAAAGATTTTGAGATTGATTTTTAAATTAATAACATGACAGGATTCAACATTAATTGCGAAAATCAAGGAGGGTTATTTTATTTCAGTAATAGCCTAGCAATATTATAAATATAAAATAGTAGTTTTACTAATTTTTCATCATATGGATCATAAAATGCTAAGGGTGGTGGTTTTTATATTGAAAAAATAAAGTTGATAGAAGTATTTAACTCCACTTTCTTAAATTTTAGCTCAATAATGGAAGGAATGCTGATTTATTCGATTTATTAAGAGATGAAATTTAGTTTAAATGAATCTGTAGTGAAATGCAATGAGAGAGAATTTGATTTGAATCAGCTAAAAGTGGCTATTGACAATAAGAATTACAAAGGAGTTTAGAGTGCTATACATTTTGAGGGCGGAATGGTAAAATCCTACAAAAATTCATTCTAAAATTGTTATTTTGCTGATTCTGGATCAATCTTTTAATTATTGAGAGCTGATTTAGAAGATGAAGAATCAAGCTATATCTCGAACTCTGGATATAATGGTGGTGTCATTCTGACTGAAAACAGCAAAAATATTAGTTTTTATAAATCTCAGTTCTTAAATAATTATGGAGCAATAGGAGGAATTGCAAATTCAAGAAAAGGAACAAATGTTACTATTTATTAATGCCTATCCTAAAATTCAACTGCTCATCTGGATGGAGGATTCATTTATATTGGAGAACAAATAGATTCCTTGTATAAAGGAATCGTTAAAATTTAAAATTCAACTTTTCTCAATTCATTATCATTACATAATGGAGGCATTTTCTATCTTGATTCCTTATACATAACTGAATTCTATTTCACTGAAAATTAGGTAGATTTATCATAGAGCAATATATATGGAGGTGTGGGTTATATAGGAAGTAATTTTTAATAAAAATCATATTTCCAAAGCAATAATATCTCCGACATTTTAGCTACTAAGGAAGGAGCCTTAATTTATTCACTGGGTTAGAATACTTAATTATACTTATACAAAAACAATATTACTTGTAATTTCACAATGAAGGTAATTGATATTATTAATGAGAAGCTCTTAAAATCCTCTATTTCTACTGGAGGTGCATTTTACATGTAATATGCCAAATCTATAGAATCAATTTATAACAGTATAAGATATTGCTTTATTGCTTAAACTGGTTCAATTTTTTCAATTAAAAACGTATAAAACTTTACTGACCTATAAAGTAATTTTAGATATGGAGGTGCCTTTTAAGGTGGAGCTATAGCTTGTGATGATTCTACCTTATTTCTAAATGGAACTTAATTTTATGATTTTTAAGCACTTATCGGCGGGTCTATTGTTTTATTAGGTAAATCTAACATAACTGCTGATTCTATTTAAATAAAAGGTAGTACTTCAATTTAATAAGCCGGAGTCTTAGGCGTATATGTACAAGATTAAATTGAGGGAACCATTAAAAATTAAGTTCTATTGATAAATTGCTTTATTTTAGAAAAGGTGGAATCTAAAGATTTAGGAGGATTTATATATATCTAAAATTAATTTACAAGGCTGATTCTAATGAATAGCGATTTCTAGAATTAAATTTCAAAAAATAAAGGTGGGCTTATTTATATTGATAAGGCACATGAAGTTAAACTATAAAATATTACAGTAAGTCAAACTTAATCATAATAGGGGTCAATAATCTATTCAATATCTTAAAGTGTGATTATAGATATAAAGAATTCTTACTTCGAATGCTAAATAAATACTTAATAAGCATTGATAAGTTAATCTATTGATGTCTATAAAAAACTAAATATTAATGGCTAATAAACTTAGCCTCAATCTATCTATCAGGAATCAGTATTTTATATTACAAATGCATTAGTAATTCAATCAACTATAAATACCTATTAAAACTGCTACACTTCTAAAGAAGGAGGTATATTTAATCTTATTTCAACAGAATTCAAAGACTATAGCTCTGTGTTTAAAAACAATGCTGCTATAAATGGAGGAGCAATAAACTGTAATAATTGTAAAATGTAATTGCAAGGAACAACTTTATAAAATAATTTGGCATTTGTAGGTGGAGCTATTTATCTTTAGAAAGAAGCCTACATGAATGGAAAATCATTAGTTATAACAAAAAATACAGCTTATAAAGAAGCTGGAGCCATATTTGTAGCTTAGCTATCATATTTAAACATTTATGGATCTTAGATAAATCAAAATTAAGCTTATGAAACTTCTGCAATCAAAATTTTCGGAGGAAGTGACTACTATAACTCAACGATTGAGTAAAGCTTATTTTACAATAATTACGCAAATAATTCATATACCCTGAGTGTTGATTCAGGCTAGTTATTTATTTCTAAAACTAACTTCAGATTGAACAATGCTTAAAGAAGAACCAAGAATATATTCATTATATTTTCAAAATTGGTTCTTGTTCAGTGTAGATTTTGGAATGATAATCACATCTATAATATTTAGGATACTAGACTAAATAATTTTACTGGAGGATTTGTCCTTGTTGGGACAAGTTCACATTTGACAATAATTGAATCTTATTTCAAAAACGGAGAAGCTTATCAAGGAGGAGCCATTTACCTCTCAAGTGAAAGCTATTTAACAATAATTAACTCTGAGTTCAACAATAATTATGCAAGATCTTAAGGTGGTGCTATTTATTCCCAAGCGTCATTTGATATAATTATTAGTGATCGAACAATTTTTATTGATAATTAAGCTCTTGGATAAGGTGATCATATCTACATGATAGATGCTTTTGCTCATGGACTAAGTATTAGTGATTCTTAGATAATGACCAATTAATCTTTTAGTTCTGCTATTTATCTTGAAAATATTAAATAACTTACATTAAATAGGCTATATGCACATGATATATTAGCAGATTTAACTAATTTAAGATTAATATAGTAATATGGAGGGCTTTTGAGATGCTAAAAGTGTGATAATGTCATTATTTTATAGTCATTGTTTAAAAATATTTCTTCTGCAGAGTATGGTGGTGCACTATATTTCAAGATGATTGATTCTAATAAACTTCCAAATAAAACTTATCCATCTATGCCTAGAATCAATATTACATTAACCAATTTTACATTATGCCAAGCCTTCTAAGGTGGAGCTATATATGATGATAATATTGACTTCCTTTTAATATAAAATTCATCTTTTATCGAAAATTCTGCTCTCTATCACTAAAACTTTAGTTCGTCAGGGATTGGTGCAGGAATATTTTATTAATGTGAGATAGATATATAATTTTAGCAATGCAAAATAATTTTAAATAAATCAAACTCTTTCAAGGATAACTTTGCTTATCTTTAAGGAGGAGCGATTCATTGGAACGTTGTTGAAATAGAATTTGATAGAAATTTAACTGTTTTTCAAAATAATACAGCTCTTTTGTATGGAGATGATATCAGTGCTGTACCGTAATAAATCGTGTATCTTTCTGAAGAATAATACAGAGAATATCAACAAATCATAGAAAATGTTTAGTATAAATATTGGAAAATAATTTCAAAACCTTTAAATAGAAGAATATTGCAAGAAATATAACTAGTATCTTAAAAATCACTTGAAAACTATAAAAGCGGAGCTATGATACCAAAATCTTATTTTGCAGTAGCTGATATGTACGGTCGAGTGGTAACTTCAAATAATAACAGCAATATCTTATTAACAGTGAATGATGAGTATAAAAATGACTCTGGAAAAATTAAATACTATCCTATTCTAGAAGGCTAGACATCTTTTTAAGCTTTAAATGGAGCATACGAGGTACAGAATGTTTATTTTACTGGTGCACCTGGATTTAATTATAAGATTGATCTAACCACTGATGCTATTGACTATAGAATACCATCGAATAAATTATATTTAGAATAAATTAAACAGAAGGGAAAAGAGAAAATCTCATTCGAGCTCGATATGATGCTAAGATACTGCTAGCCAGGAGAAAGTTTTTCATCAGCTGGGAAATGCTAGAATTGTGAAGATGGAATAAGTTTTTCTCTTGTTCAGATGTTTGAGCCTGGTGAATGCATTAAATGTCCCAATGATGTAGCTATATGTCTAGGAGGTAATTAGGTTGGACCTAAACCAGGAATATGGAGAAAAACTAATTCAACAGATCGATTTTTTGAATGTTTTTACAGAGATGCATGCTTAGGAATGCTCCCTCCTTTGAATAATCCCCTTGGAGTATGCGCATAAGGTTATCAAGGCTTACTCTGTTCAGATTGCAAAGTTGGTTTTAGTAGAACTTCATTCTAAGGTACTACTTTTAAATGCAGTAAATGCCCTGATCATACTACAAATGCCATGAAATTAGCTGGTTCTTTTATTGTCTATATAGGAATGTTAATTTTTATGATAAGATCTACATTAAATAGTGCAAGAGAGGAGAAAAATGTTACCTCTATCTATTTAAAGATATTAGTAAATCATCTATAATTGATAAGTCTGATTTAATCCTTCAAGTTCGACTTTCCAGATGAATTAACAAACTTTTTCTCAGGTACTGGAGATGTTAAAGACTCTACTTCGACATAAATTCTGTCACTTGATTGCTTTTTAGATAATAGAATAAATAATAATGATCAAATGAACCCACAGTTATTTTTTCAAAAGTTGATTATAATTGCAGTTATACCATTTCTGATAGTTTTTATAGTTCTTATTATATGGACTATCCTCAAAATCTATTATTAGAAAAAGAAAATTAATTTGCTTGGCAAATAATTTAAAGATAAAATCAGTTAACTTAAGTAAATAATGAAAAAGGGAGATTAGTAAGTGTAAGAAGTGGCGCTTATTTAATTAAAGAAATTAATGAGAGATGCAACTTATGAGGTTTCTGGGAAAATTATCACAACAGTCATTATTCTATTATTCTTCATGCATCCAACAATTGTTGAGTTTACAGTTTCAAATTTTAATTGCTATAACATTGAAGAAGAGAGAAGAGTTAAAGTAGATCTGACTATTAAATGCTGGGAAGGTAATCACAGTTTTTTCTCTTACACAGTAGCATTGCCAAGCCTATTTGGCTGGGGTATTGGCATTCCATTCTTTGCATTAATAATGATCATAAAGAATAAAGACACTTTGATGACTATCGCTACTAAGGAGAAATTGGGATTCTTGTATAATGGGTATAAGAAAGAATACTTCTTTTGGGAAATCCTTATAATGTACAGGAAAATCATCATAATATTTATTGCTATTTTCCTATCAGAATAAGGTGTAATGGCTTAATCATTAATAGTATTACTAGTACTGACTGTATTTCTGACTTTAAATATGAAATTCAGGCCCTTTATTATAAATCCATTGAATGATCTTGAGACAATATCTATTATTACTTAACTAATAACGATTTATTGTGGAATATATTATGTCACAGATGTAACCAACACTCTTAAATCAGCTACTTCTTTGTAAACAGCAACAAAAGATTCAATTATAAAATCAGGAATGATTTTAAGTTAAAGTTCTAGATATATACTATTTGTAATTATCCTTATTGCTAATGCAGTATTCTTTGTCGTATGGGCATTGAAAATGTAAGTTGAAGTTAAGAATGTACTTATCAAGAAATTTCCAAAGATCTACATCTTCTTATTTATGTGCAATAACTCTGAAAAATTTAAAGATCAATAAAGCAAAGCAAGAGCCAAAGAAATCAATGAGTTACTCATTGAAGAATATGAAAGAAGTAAAATAATTTAATCTTAATTTTAATATAGTTTTAAAAAATCTAAAAATGCTTAGCGATTCTGGTAGATTAGTTTTAACACATAATATCTTAGAAAAATTATAGTATTATCTTGGTGAAGATAGAGTACTTGAAGCAATTAACTATAAAAAATTTGGTCTAATAGATGAAAAAGGTACATTTAATGATATAATTTTTCAATAAATATATTAGGTTATCAAAGAGCGTTAAGAGAGAAAGATAATAAGATAATCCTAAATGAGGTCATGTAAAAAGATGCTAAGATTCATGGAGTCACTGATTTTGGAATCTTTAGAAACTATGGTGACAATCAGCAATTGGATGTGGATGATGGTTTTATGAAAGGTGAAATTTCAAACGACGACCTTTCTTCTCATAATAATAGCAGTATTACTTTATAATTAATACTTTTAGGTCGCATTAATATATCTACTTCTTACAATGAGTTTACAGAAAGTAATATTTTTGAGGAAGAAAAATAGTCAGAGGGGCTTAATTTTAAATTTAAATAGTAAAGGAAAAACTCTACATTTTACAATTAAAAGAAAACAAAGATTGATGATGACAATTAAAGTCTCAGCCACAATTTGGAAATTAGAGATAATGATAATATGCATAAACCTCAATGGGAGTAGGACTATATAAGAAAGAAAAAGGGTATATTAAAGGATGAAGAAGTATTCCATGAATTATGGGGTAAGGATTAGAAAACAGAAAATAAAGGGTAACTCAAGAAAAAGGAATTAATTGAAAAATATGAATAGAAACGAAAACTGATGAATAATTTTATGATACCAATGGATGTCAATTTCAACTAGATTAATTAAATAAAGGATATGGCTGAGAAAATCTCAGATGATACAAATATAATTAATGATGATAAGTTACTAACCTTCTAAATTAAGTAAAAGTTCGAATAAGCTCAGAATGAGGTCTAAATTCAAAAAAAGAAAGAGAGTGTAATCATAAAGATCAATAATAGAAAGTTCATGAGGAAGTAAGAACTTGAATAGGAACTTGCATTAGAGTTAAGAAATAAGAAGAAGAAAATAAATGGCATAAAGCATAATGACACTTAAATGGAATTATAGCAAAAAAATGATGCTGAAGCAGATCTAAATGAAGAATAGATATTTAGAGATCTTGAAAGAGATCAAATACTTTATGAAGAATCAGAATCCAATTTAACTGAATCACAAGCTTAACTCACTTCCTAAAGAATAGAGGATTATGATGATATCTTTTCAGCAGATAATGATTCAAATCTAAGTGAATTCTATGACTAATAAAATGAATTCCAAAATTAAAATAAATGATCAATTTTTTATATATCTTCATTTCATAAATACCTAATTTGACATTCACGGGGTTTTGGGGTTTTGGGGTTTTG